TAATATTACTAAGTTTCATACTGTTAAAGCATAATACTCCTACATTGGTCAGGTAAATATCCAATATACTCATCTACATGCCACTAGAATCTTTTTTTCCTAAGCTTATTTAAAATAATGGGAAAATGGGGGTCATATAGTAACAGACATTTGCAGCTGTAAGAAACTTTGATATCAGTGGGATCTACTTCTCCATGATGAATTTTTGCTAAATGTTGAAAAGATAATTGAGATAAGGGGAAAGTTTGGGTGGAGAAATCTTATATAATGTTTTATAAGATGATTAAGGGAAAATATTAGGCAGGAACCAATCACAGACACTGGGAAAATAAAATTCAAAAAATCTCATTTCTTTCTGATGAGAATACTTTGAATGGGTTTCTTGAAAAAATTTCTGTTTCCCTGTGGAGATAGCTATACTATACCAACACCACATTACCTCCACAAACACATACAGGGAATATTCTTGCTAAACTTTTTGCCTATTTGCATGTTTACTGAGCAAGGTTTTATGTAAACAGAATTTTTTAATATCCCCAGATAGTGGTGGTCACATATTTATTGTGTGACAAGTCTCTGATCTTGTATTTTAGTATACGTGTGTGTGTCTGTGTGTAAATGGTACATAAGGAATAACACAAGACATTTATCAAACTTGAGATGTAAATTTGAAAATTAGATATTCATTAGTAGTAGTATCAGAAGGGTATGAGTTAAAGTTATGGAATAATAAAATTTTTATTTATTTTTTATTTTAAAGACTGCTTTATATCATTTTATTTATTATTTTTATTTTTTAAATGTTTTATTTTAAAGAGAAACAAACAAAAGCAAAATAACAAAAACAGACAAAAACAAAACAACACAAAACCAATAAAAATGATACAGAATTTAAAAAAAAATTGAAAGGAAATTAACAATGGTTGTTGTACTACATATTGTTATCTTCAAAGTAGTTGCTCAGATTACCAGAAATAGGTATGCAAGATTGATCAAACAATTAAACATTAACTATTCATTTCAAAAAACCAATAGAAATTAATAGTACAATTAACCTGTCTATCTTGTGTGTGTGTGTGTGTGTGTATATATATAAACCCATATGTATATAGTTTCCCTTCCTTCTTTCTTTCTTTTCTCCTTTCCCTCATCCCAGTTGTTGTTTCCCTTTGAGCAATTTCTTTCCCTTTCACATTATCTATTGTACCTTTCAGATTTTATTTACTCTTTCAGGTTCTTACACTAGGGAGACAATGCCATGTTTCCACATGTGGGTCTGATTTATTTCACTTGCCGGTATGGTAAAGATTACTTTAAAACCACCACATTCAGACTATGTGAGGCAAAAGAACTTTGTCATCTCTTTTCTGGTTAGTCTGAAAAAGTTCATGGTGGAATAGAAACTCCATGATCATCTGTTTATAAGCAAGTTACAAATTTTTCCCTGCCAGTTGCTCTTCCCATTGATGATGATGATGACGAGATTGTTGGGGGCTACACCTGTCAGAAGAATTCCCTCCCCACCAGGTGTCCCTGAACATTGGCTACCACTCATGTGGTGGCTCTCTCATCAGTTCCCAGTGGGTGTTGTCGGAGGCTCACTGCTACAAATCGTAAGTAACCAAGAATCACATCCCTTTGGGCTACAGTCAAATTATTGTCTAGCCCCACAAAATCATAACCAGAGTAAACTACAGATGCACCAAAGCATTCACATGTGGAGAGCTTTATTACCCCTCGCAATCCCAGCATGCTTTGAAGGAGATACACATGGAGCTGTACCTTCAAAACTCCCTGATATCTTCTTTAATGACAGAACTAAAAATGTGGAAGGGAAATATGGCTGATGGAGTATCTCCAAAAATAATAAAGAACACTCATCAGTAGACAGTCTTAAATATTATAGCCTATCCATGAAAGCTATGTCCTACAGATGTAATAAAACCTACCATATTTCCAGGAAGACATAAAAATAAGCAAAATTCGTTCTGCTCCATTCATAATCTGCTTGATCTTTAACTTGGCCTCATCTGCCTGTACATCATGATCCCAACCAGAGCAATGGCAGGTGCTTGTCAAGCTCCAATCCCCTTTCCATCTCTGGCTGTTCAGTAGAGATTATATGCTTCCCATTTGCACACCTTACTATTCCAACAAGATGATGGGCTGTGAGTCTGCACTGACAGTTGTACTTACCTGAGTAATTTTCTACCCTGCACCATGCGTGATAGTGCACAATGCTACCTTAAGTGCGCAGGCACCTGTGTGACTCAGCACTTGAAAAGGGCGGTGTGTTTGACTATGCTAACACTGACTATTGGGGGAACTGGATGAAACTCTAATTTGATACTTAGGAAAATTTTAATCCTTTAACCCAGCAAGATCCAGGTTCATTGGGGAGAACATGACATTGATGTCCTGGAGGGAGATGAACAATTCATTAATGCAGCCAGGATCATTCGTCACCCCAGTTATAACAGAGACACTTACGATAATAACATCATGCTGATTAAGCCACAGACAGCTGCAAAACTCGCCTCTCGAGTGGCCACTGTCTCTCTGCCCAGTTCCTGGCCATCTGCTGGAACTCAGTGCCTCATGTCTGGCTGGGTCAACACTGTGAGCACTGGCAGTAAGTGAAACCTGTAATACAAGGGCCAGATCTGAGAATGCTAGAGGTGAAAGGCACCTTAAGGATCACTTGGTCTAAATTCTCATTCAAGTCATGGTCCCAGAGTTAGGCTTTGGATATGAGCAGCTTTAGAATACATTATTTGCAGTGAGGAAGATATCTTTGTAGAGATGTGCAGACAATACAACAAAATTGAACTGCTCAGGAAAAGTCAATGTAGGGAACTAAAGTATGACTAGTGATGTGAAGAGAACTAGACACTAAGGAGGCTGATAGAACAGAAGCTAGGGAACTTGAAGTTGCCTAAAGTATATATTTGCCTGAGAAAGAAGAAAAGGTCTCTGGACTTGAAATCTTTAGCCACTGATGCCAGTGCCAGAGAAAGAACAACTTGTTAATTAGAAGTATTTGAAAGCTTTCCAGGAAAAGAAAAATATCCGGAAATAGAAGTCACTGACAAATTGAAAGAAATAGTGTGAATATTGTAAAAGAGAAGAGATAGAGTGAGAAAGACATTTCCAGGACTCTGTGGGTAGGTAATCTCGCATTTTCACTTTTGCACTTGACAGGCAAATACCATTCACTGCTTCTGTGATTGGGTGCTCTCGTCCTCTCGGACAGTGCTTGCTGCAGTGCTTACCCCCATAAGATCACTAGCAACATGTTCTGCCTAGGCTTCCTGGTGGGTGGAAAGGACTCCTGCCAGGTGAGTTCTTTTGTATTTCCTTACGTCGGTTTAATTCCCCTCCTCTCCATTATACTTGTCTCTCTGAAACACAAAAAGCTGTATAAATACCCTTAGAATTGATTGTGGACAGTGAGGGATAGTTTTGGGATAAACAGTACATCTTCTCTTTGTGATACTGATGATTACGGTTGGGATAGAAAGACACGGGATATTGTCTGCACACATTTCTTTCTGTGAGGTGTACTGTGGGACTCAACCCTTGTAAAATCGGTGGAGGAAGTAGGACAGCATTAAATTTCTCCAGTTCTCACCTTTCCTTGCCCATAGGGCCTCCTGAGAAAGAGCTAAGATTAAAAAAAAGGAGAACAAAGACTAGGGACAAAGTAAGAAGGCAGAGGTTTGGTTTACCATGGTTAGAGAAGGTGTATCTTGAAAGACCAGCAGCCTGCCAAAATGACCCAAGGAAAATGGAAGAGCTTCATGGAGAGCATTTTTCATCTGGATGTAAACAAGAACTCTGAATGTCTTTTCCTTTTTGTTCAGGGTGACTCTGGTGGCCCAGTGGTTTGCAATGGACAGCTCCAGGGTGTAGTCTCCTGGGGCTATGGCTGTGCTCTCAAAGGCAAACCTAGTGTCTACAACAAGGTATGCAACTACCTGAGCTGGATTCAGCAGACCATTGCTTCCAACTAAACACTTTCATCTCTTTAAGATCTACCCTGGTAGATAACTTCACCTTCCTTCTTTGCCTGAAATCATTGTCTAAATAAAAACAATTTTATTAATATCCTGCCTCTCTCTAGGAATTGTTTTTGCTAGGAATTGGACACCTTTCTCTTCATACTTGCATTTATGCACCTACATATATGATCCAGTTCTTCAAGATCCTGGTTTCTAAGAGGAATATTATTACTAAATAAGCAGGGCCAATAGAGATCATCTGAGCCCCTCTTTCACTACCAATTTTCTCCAAAACCTCAGGCCTCATTATATACTTATTTAATGAATTCAGAAAACAAAAAGCATGAATGCAGGTGTGTTTGAACAGCATATACTTCAGGTAATACAGGTCTTGGCTCCAGAGGTATAACCGTTCCCTTTGGTTCTGCCTGGAGAGAACACCATACACACTCTACCTTAGTACTTTGCCCCCCAACCCCATACATGCATCTCCATTGTCCACATTTTCCAAGTTTTCACTCACCTCTAAATTTTGGATATTGAATATCTTATTTTTTCCCAACTGGAATATTATTGCAACAGCAGTAAAGTATCTGGAGACAGTTACACCACCATCCTATGAGCAGATCCCACTAAACCAGCTCAAATGAGGTACTAATTTAAGCCACACATGGGCTTAGTTACAAATGCAAATTGGTTATGGAAAAAAATGTATATTACCAGGAAACCATAAGTGTGTTGGTCACAGAGATCACTTAACTACCATCTTTAGCTTTGTGTGTACCACATGTAACCTGTCTTAGTTCCTACCAGCTGTACCCTACAACTTTGTTGCTCTGCACATCTCCTAGCGTGGTGATAGCAGCACTTTTAGAGTTTTCAATAATAACAGACACCCCACTGAGGCACATGTGTCATAGGTCTGCCACCACTGACCTACAGCATAGTTCCACAAAAGATTTCTTTGTACATCAGATATGCACCAAGGGAAAATGCATAATGGCGTCTGAGCATAGACACATCTATAACAAATGGTACATGTTTGAAAGGCAAAAATTCAGCCTTGTCGTAAGGTGAAAGAAGTGCATAATCTTACTCAGCTCAGGTTGCTGTAACAGCAATGGCATAGATTGGGTGGTTTAAAAGCAAAATTTTTCCCCCAATTGGAGAGGGTACATCTAAGATCAGGGCATCAGCATTTTCCCATCATTAAAAAGCATGTCATATGTTTTTCTCTGACTTGAGCATCATAATGGGCTTTTTATATCATGTGGCAGTTACTAAGGAGCGCCATTACAAAGACCATAGGATATTCTGGATTCTTTGAGTCCAAAAAGATTTGGCAATTAACACCTTCACCAGCTAGGTAGGGTTGCTTTTCCTCACCAGAGATTAGGGAGCAGCAAAAGAGCAAAAGAAATAAGGGAAGTAAAGGAAAATTTCAAACAAGCCCCTGACACAATTTCCCCTTGCATTGCTCATTCCTATCTGAAGGATTTGGGGCAGCCACTATTCTGGCTTTTTCCTACTGAAGGAGGACATGGAATGAAATTCTTCAGGACTCATATAGAACATTTATGGTTTGGCTGGCTGTGTAGGAAACTACTTCATGAGAAGGAGACAAATTCATCTGTAAACAAAGGCTAAAAAATATAAGACCCAGGTGCTTAAGACTAAAAGTGAGGTACCATTATAAACCATAGAGTGTACAGGTATTATAAATGGAAGAGCAGTTATCAATGAGAGAAGGTATCTTCAATAAATCACGTAAGAGAGGAGCTCTTCTTCTAAATGACTGCATGGGCATATATTACTAAACAAAACTAACATTTCTAATCAGTGAAAATGGTCACTTTCTTGTCTCTAAATGGAGAGCACTTATCAAAGCTATGAGCAACAACTTGGATCACACATGTGTGCCACCAAGCCTTGCTAATCCTATTCTTAATGTCTTTTCTTCTCATCTTTTATGGGCAGTAACTAGCATAATAAGTAGTAATTTCAAGATAAAAACACTGATTGTCTAACAATTATTTTAGTCTGCCCTTTGAAACACAGTTAAGAATGTTAATCGGATGAAACGATGTAATGTAAATGGCTTTAGTCTTAGAGATACTCATCTGCTCTGAGCAGCTCACTGTATTCACATTCAATTTCTATTCCACTTCACCAATAGGAGTTCAAGACTCTTTGAGGAAATCATACACTTCAAATATACTTTTCTTCTTCTGTTTTTGCTTTTATAAATTCTTGCCCTACTGAATAAGTTAAAGCATGTGCCCCTTCTCTAACTGATTCGAACTTCTTAACCTGAGAAACAAATTATTTTAACAAAACTAGTCTTGTCATTATGTACATCCCCTAGCATTACCCCAACACTTTACAATGATGTAATGTATAAATATATGTAACCTAAGCATATGACTATATTTGACTTCTCTAAACCATGGACTTCCCAAGGAGAAATGTATAACACATTTATAATGCTGTCCATGAGGAATGAATGTCTTGATGTCCAATAATCATTTGTAAAGTTCCAGACACACAGAAGAGACTCTAAATACCAGCAGCACTACAATCAGCTAAAGGTGCTGTAAGACCTTGATAACATTAGAGACTCTGAAGCCCAATTTCTAGTGCTGGAGTCCTAGTTCTATAAAGAACTTGGTATGAGCAAACAGTGAAGTCCCCTATAAGTCTGCTAATTTAGTTTTCCCATCTGCAAATTAAGGATTATAATACACATTGTACATAGCTGTTATAAAGATTGATAAATTAATACAAGCAAAATTCTATACTTTGTACTTGGGAGCTCTTGCCTTTGCATGAGGGTATTTACAAGACTCCTGGTACAGACATGAAACTTCAGTAGGACCAAATACTTTATGCAATGTTTTTTGGACACCTAGAGATGTATAGTAAAATTTAACTCATAAGTTGAACAAAATAATAGACTAGCAATAATAATTAATGATAAAATAAACATAATAATTTACTGCAATAAAAATGTCCCAAAATTTATGAATTACTTATTTCTAGAAGGTCATTTTAAGTTGTTTTGGTCCATGGTTCACTGTGAGTATATGAAACCATGGAAAGTGAAACCACAGAGAAAGGAGGATGATTACACCCACTACATATAGTAAGCTGGAGATAAAAAGGAAGTTATTACCACATTTTACTTTCTTCTTTTCAAGTATTATTATTTTAAATAAGAACAATATTTCCATTCTCAGGAGATTAAGATTTTCCTCCTTGTAATAAAAAGCCAACATGGACTTATAAGATCAGAAGACACCTAAAACAAAGTATGGGACTGTGAAAAGGAAAGTGTTAATGAAAATACTACAGTGCAGAGTTCAAGTGTGCTCAGGACAAAAGTTCTCAGCTGAGCTAGCCAACTTCCCGACATTTTTATCTGGGAATCCAGAAACCTGTAGTCTTGTTCTATGATCTTACACCCCCTTATTTGCCTACTATGGCAAACGGTTCCCACCAGCTGTGTTTGCTACTTCTGTTCTCATAATCATCTGGAAAAGTGAAAGTTTATGTTTACCTCTGGTGCTGAGTCATTTTCCATGGGCCTCAGAATGGAATTCTAAATTGGAACTTGTGAGTTTCCAGTGAAATCATTCCTCTGGCACCTGTGACAAGCATGCAGGTAAAAATACCTGAGGATGGAAAGTCTGCATTCAGTTCTCCAGTCCAGATGGAGAGGGTCACCATGAAACCTTTATCATTCTTGCCTTCCTGGGAGCAGCTGGTCAGTGTCTTCAACAAATAAATCAAGAGGTGTTTATGTGTATGTAAGTTTGTGCTGTGTGCATGCTAAAACAGGAATGAGTTTAGTGTATTGTCTTTACTAAAGAAACATAAAATGTTGAAGATAAAGTGTATTACATGTTGGCAGATAATTAAATCAAACTTGTGGGAGGAGGTGAGAAACAGGATGAACAAAACTCATTCAGAGTATGAACATAAAGAATCAGTACTCAGCATGAACTTCCAAGAAAAACTCACTGAGAAGGAGGAAAAAGGAAAGGATTTTGAAGAAGCACTCGCCTGGATCTCTTTATGAAGGTGGAGTTAATAATGAAAACTAGTCTGTGTTCATTGAAGAGGTTGCAAATGTCCAACCGTAATTTTCCTCAGTATTAAAGGTCTCGTTATGTACCCAAGCACTCCTCATGGGAAAAGGTACATTATTCCATGAAGAATGCCATACATATTAATAGTGCCATAAGAAAAATATATGTTTAAAATACAGAAAAATAAATTTTGAAAAAAGTTAACATAAAACTATCATTTCCTGATATGCAGTGCAAGGGTATTATCATCTCTTTTCTGGTTTGTTAGTCTGCAGAAATTCTGTGGTGAAGTAGAAATTTCTCATACTTACATTCAACTAGGTTCCTAACCGGATTCCTAACTTTTCCTCATCAGGTGCTTTCCCCACCCATGGTGGTGATGACAAGATCATTGGAGGCTACAGATGTCAGAAGAATTCCCTCCCCTACCAGGTGTCTCTGAATGATGGCTCCCACTTCTGCGGCAGCTCCCTCATCACTGACCAGTGGGTGTTGTCCGCAACTCACTGCTATGAGCCGTAAGTCAACAATATTCACATTCCTGTTCTCTATGGTCAAATGATCCTCCAACCCAAACAGATAACCAAGGTAAACTGGAGTTATGCATGATGGACACACCATGCTGTACCTAAAAGTCGCAGTATTCCCTCAGGAATCCTGAGATGTATTAAGGAACCTTTACAAAGAGATATATCCTTAAAGTTCCTGAAGACTTTTTAATTACATTACTAGAAATAGAATGGAAACCATGGCTGATGAAATTTCTCTTGAAATATCTTAAGAGAATGAATTACTACATAGTGATATCATTATAGCTCAACAGGAAAATTATGGAATACCATATGGACATAATAAAATGTATCAAATATCTACTGCATTAAAAGAAGCATAATTTACTCTCTTCCCTTGAAATCCTTTTATCATTAACTCATCCTCATCTCACTGTGAAAGTCAGTGATCCCAACCAAAGCAGAAATGGCAGATGCCAATCAATCTCTACTCACCAGTTTTCCTCTCCAATGGCCAAGTAGAGGTTATTCAGTTCCCATTCCTCTACCTACCTATTGTAACAAGATGCTAAGTGTCAGTACTGACAGGGACACAGATGCAGGAACTCTGTAAAGTGTGCCATGCATGGTAGTACACAATGCGAGTTTAAGTGCTCATTGCCTGTATGAATGAATTCTTGAGGAGGATCAGATGTTCCTATGTTCATGGGAGGGAGGTTGTCAAAAGGAGATAAAGCTCAAGTTGGATATATACAAAACTTTCAATCCTTTAATCAAGGTGAATCCAGGTTCATCTGGGAGAACACAATATTCATATTATTGAGGGTGATGAGCAATTAACTGATGCAGCCAAGATCACCCTTCATTCCAAGTACGATAAAGACACCATTGATAATGACATTATGCTGATTAAACTGAAGTCACCTGCCACCATCAATGCACGAGTGGGCACTATCACTCTGCCACGATCCTGTCCTTCAACTGGTGCTCAGCGCCTCGTGTCTGGCTGGGGCAACACCCTGAGCTTTGGTAGTAAGTTTCTCCTGCAATACGAAGACTAAGTCTGAACATGTTAGAAAAGTGTTAGTCTAACTTCTCACCCAAGGCGAGGCTCCAAGAGATAGGCTTCACATATACAGGAAGTGTATACTGAAGTGAAGAAGATAACTTTCTGGACACAATACAAGATGCAGCATAAATGAACTGCTAATACAGATGAAAAGTATTTAAGTGAAGTGGGATTAGTGGCTTTCAAAAGATTAGAAAGAGAAGAGGTAGATAGAATGATGATAAAGTCCTCAGCGCTAACTGAAGTGTACATTTAATTGAGAAAAAGTCTCTAGACTTGACTTAAGTGCCCACTCATGCTAGTGTCAGAGAAATAATGACTTGATGATCAGAACTGTTAGATGAAGCATTCGGGGGGAAGTGCTTTCTTTCATTGTAAATCACTGGCAAATGCAAAGAAAGAGTAGGAGTTGTGTGATAGCGAGGACAGAATGAAATTTTCAGTGATGCTCTGTGTCATCTTCTTCTGTTCTCATTCTTGTATTCAACAGTCAAGTTCCCTTCCATCCTTCAGTGTCTGGATGTCCCCAACCTCTGACACTGTTTTCCACAAAGCACACCCAGGTCGGATCACTAGCAACATGTTTTGTGCGGGCTTCGTGGAAGGTGGAAGGGACTCTTGCCAGGTGACCTGCTTTGTATATCTTCTTGGTTCTCCTTAGTGTCATCCTCTAACACCATATTTTTCCTTTTCTGAACCACAAAGGACTGCACAATTGTCCTTAGTGCCAATTGTAAAAAGAGGTAGATAGCACTGGAGTAAATTATAAATCCTTTGCGATACTCATGATTAAACTAGAAAAAAGACACTTAGAATTTCATGCTAAACAATGCAACCAGTCAATGGTCTAAAGCAGTATATTATGGAATGATTCTCTGTGAAAGGTACAGAGCTCTTGAGATGGCTTTAAATCTCTCCAGTCTTTTTCATTTTCTATAGGCTTGGAAGGATGGGGAGGACCATAAGATAGGAAGAAGAAGGATGTAGTAAATAGAGCAAGTTTCCATTCCTGGGGGCATGGCAGTTGCTTCATGGAGGAGCTGCAGTCTATAAAAACAGTTCCTCTTTAAGGGAGCAACATCTTGGGTCTCATTTGTGCAAAGTGAGCTAAGCCACCATTATTTGGAAGGCTGAGTCATGAGGAATTCCATGAGTTTGAGCCATCTTCAACTACATAGTGAGACCCAGTCTCAAAACATAAAATAAAAAATTAAAGAAATGAAAAAGTGAAAAGTCCAAAGCTCAGTGGATACAAACAAAAGTCCCGTTTGTCATTCTGTTCTTATTTAGGATGATTCTGGTGGCCCTGTGGGCTGCAATGGGCAGCTCCACGGAATTGTCTCTTGGGGTTCTGGTTGTGCTCTCAAAGGCAAACCTGGTGTCTATGCCAAGGTGTGTAACTACCTGGACTGGATTCATGAGACCATCACTGCCAACTAAACACCTTTATTTCTTAAGTCCCACAAGCAGAGTCAATTTCACCTTCCTTCTGTGCCTGAAATTATTATATGAAAAATAAATTTTGCTCTGCATCACATCTTTTCCTGATGGTCCTTGCTTGTTATTCAAGAACTTTCCAAATACAAGAAGATAGAAATGTGAAGTATTTCACTGAGAAATTTAAAAGGCTTTCTCATCATTCACCCAATGAAATGAATAGACACGTCCTTGTCACCTCCACATGCCAACCTGTGTGGGACATGGAGGACAGAAGGCAAGTAGGGCACATTTCCAATCAAATTTCTTATATGAAAAAACCAAGAGCTCCTGATAATTTTTATTGTGTGACTTTTCTGGTATACATATGTGGTCATTCATTTTTGATGGCTGCTAATATGTTTTGTTTTTTTTTTTTTTTTTTTTTTGGTTTTTCTCCGGTACCGGGAACCGAACTCACGACCTTGCGCTTGCCAGGCAGGCGCTTTTGCCACTGAGCTAAATCCCCAGCCCCATGGCTGCTAATATGTTTATTGCTTATGAAAGACAATCTTACCAGAATGCCTCATCAAAGTCAATTGCCTAAAGTCAGTCAAATAATTCATAATAAAACTACAATGACATCCAAAATGTCTGTTTCCACAGTGCTCTACTGCTTCTGTGACTAAATGCCCTCTCTTTCCTTGTTTTCTTAATCTATCTGAAACTCTGGAGGCTCGGTAATGAAATATTCTAGATGGATCATGTTTCCAAAATCCATGGATTCCTGCACTTTCCAAGGAATCATCTGACTAGAGGTTCCACTTCTACAAAACCTTCTTGTTTTCTAACCAAATATGGCTGAGTTAGCAGACACAGACGGTGGAGAGGGTCAGCACCTCTTCCCATCAGCCTTCCCCTCAAACCTCAGCCCAGAGAATGGAACAAACGGGCAAAAAAGCTATGAAATGCAAAGTAGCACAACATAGATCTCTCCTCTCACAGGATCACAGTCTTGGATCCAGAGAAGTGACTCTCCTCTTCATCCCTGCCTGTGCTGTGTACTACAAACACGGTGCCTTTCTTCCACACTGGCTTTCCCCTCCCATTTTCATTGTTCCATAGACCATTGAGAATAGGGTTTGTCATAAAAGTCCTACACAGAATTTCTGGGCATCCCTGGTATGAGACAGGGAAAAGCCATAACGGAATCTGAGCACAGGTCCACTGAGGTAACCAGAACAGGTTTGAGAGAAGAAAATGCAGCCTCAGAATAAAGTGAAGGAAGCATACTGTCTTAACTCAGAATGCTCAAATAAAAACACAATGTGCTGCAGGCTTATTTCCCACAGATTTATTTCTAACAGTGCTGGAGCCTGAGGCATCCAAGGTCACAATAACAGCAGGCATGATGCTGGGGAGTTCCTGCTGCCTGGTTTATTGATACACCTTGTATCTTTGTATACCTGTGTGGCCAGGAAAGCTTAGTGTACTCCCTTCCTATACTTGTAAGTACACTGGACCTAGTCTAGGGGTTCCTCTCTCTCAGCCTTATCAGAACCCAATCAGCTCCTAAAGCTTCCACCTGCTAGGAGAGAGCACCAAGGAGACAGGAAAACGAGGAAGTGTGAAGAAAACCTTAGGGAGAAAAAAGTCAACAGAGAAAAGCAAAGCAGAGAAGAGAAAAGAAAAGAGATGAGAAAAGAAAGGTGGAGAAAAGAAAAAAGTCTAAAAGAGGGAGCACAACAGGGAAACACTCAAAGAATAAAGTAAAAGAAAACACACAGCATTAAGCAAGTAAGGACCAAAAGAAAGGAAAGAAAAAAAACAAAAAAACAAGATAACCCAGAATGCACAAAGAAGCAAAGGAACAATGAATAATGAAAATTACAACGACTGAGAATGCTTCAAACAGCTTCAGCATTACTCCGGATCGGTGACGGTGAACCTGTCAGAGACTGAGTGTGAAACTGCAATCCCAAACCACCCACCAGTCACAAAGTAGCAGCGCTGTGTTATACACTAAGGAACTGCACAGCTACCCTTTTCTCAGCGTGCGCATGTTCTATGATGCTCAGCTGCTGCGCAATGCTGGGGCAGCGTGGCTCACGCGGGGAAAGAGAGAGGACTTTGTGCTCACAGCTGCGCATGTGCGGTAGGTTCACCACCACTGACCTAGAACATCCACACGGCTGCCTCTACACTGAGTCACGGTCTGCTTTGGAACAATCAAGCAGTTTCCCTGTGTGGACCACTCAGTGGCTTACCCAAAGGAATGAGGGACATTACTCCATCTGGAACAGTCTACTGGCTGCAAACTTTGTCTCAAGTGTAGCTAACTGCAGGCCTCCATCATTGTCTCCAGATCTGATGGCCTTAATTAACTTGGGAGGAATGAAATGTGGGGCGCTTTGCCAGTTCACTAGTTCTCTGTAGGCTTCCACTAGTGACCACACACTATAGCTTCCTTCATTGCCTGGCAAATATCTGTTTTTTTTCCATGGGCTTTCCCTCCTTAGTTTATCACAAGAAGACCTCTGACCATGTGCCTCCTCTGCCTGGAGCTTTTTATGTGTCTCTGTCTCAAGGGCTCTGCTCCTAGACCTGCCCATCCAACCTGGGAGCATGCCCAGGCTTGTCAGAGGAAAGGACCCTTTTGCCAGCTCCAGGTGGTGAACAGGAACTTATGCTGTCTCTGAGCTTTTTCTCAGTCTTGCTGTGGGCATATGTTTGCAGTCAGTAAAAAGAGTCATGTCATGTTCCTGTCTCAAATAGAGGACACTATATGTGATGGAAAGACTTGTACTTCCAATGTCAGGCAATCATGGGTAAGACGTGTTCCCCCCTAGCTTCTTCACCTTGTGTGCATTGATAAGGCTGACACAGAGATTTCTTTTCAATCTCGCAATATTCCATCCTTGACATGGAATAATTTTCTGCAAAGACATGGCTGGGTAACCACCCTACAGCTCTGTTTTGATTTCCCTAATTGCCAGTGTAGCTCTGCCACTGGTTTTTGTCAGAGGCAGTCCTACATCCCAGGGGAAGTGATTGATGACTAGGAATCGGGGTCAAAATCCTTCTTCCCACATCTTAGCAGCAAAAGGATTTCAAAGTGTATCTCAGGCTCAGTTTACCTAGGTCACTTGTTAAATTTAATCTTGTCCATTCTGTAGGGTAGCATCTCAAAGCACTGGGCCAGATTTTTGTGTTAGAATTTGTATGTCCACAGACCTCAGTAGTAACAGACAAGAGCAAAGCACATTCAGTTTGCCCATCACATCTAAACAAACATAAATATTGAAATAAGCCCAAGGTATCTTTGATATTTTTTCAGGCTCTATAAAATCCCATAAATTACTTTTGAAAACTCAGTCATACATTCAGTATCTTTAGAGGCTCTATTTCTTTCCAAAATTCTTTCACAATTTTCTCAATGTATTTTGTAATTATGCAGATCTTTACTTAGTTCGGTACCACATTCCATTTCTTTTTTTTCTTCTTCTTCTTTTTTTTCTTTTGTTTCTCTGGTTCCCTTTTTTTTCTTTCATTATGTATAAGACCACGCATCCCTGGCTACTACACAGGTATAGAAGACAAGTATAGTTGAGAAACAACTTTATTTTGAGCAGGAGGCATGACAGCACAGCACTGAACAGCCATGTTGTAGTCTGAATCCTGCTTTACATTCCATTTCTTATCTTGGAATCACAATCATCTTTTGATAAAAATTTACTCTATGAATAAAATTCTTAGTATTTTAAATTTTAGTTTATTTATGGGATCCAATTTAACAAGGAACAAGGTCAAAGGCAGATCCTAGTTCCAGGGCAGGATGTCTGTTTGAAATTCTTGCCAAACATTTTGTATTTGAAGCAAATCCCACACCCCTGTCAGAATACCATTATGTTCAGGAGTATAAAAAAAATTTCTTCTCCATTGTCCCCTGAATCTATTTGAAGATTTGATAATATAATAATAACATATTTGAAGCATGAGTCAAAGGGAAAAAGATTTTAAAAGCTTTTAATTTCCTTTCCTTCTGGAATAACTGACAAATTATTTGCATGTTATCTTATTGCCATCATTTAAACCACTAAGATTCCTCTTATTACTTCTGTAAAAATTTATGTAAAATCTTATCCCAGTACAAAAAAAAACTCATCATTCATATGTAACTTATCAATAATAGATTACTTTTATTCAATTGAAAAACATTAATGACAAAAATACCTCACTGTCTAATTTTGCTACTTATGTTTTCCTTTCTTGATATGAAGAGTAGACAAACTTTTAAAAATAAAGTAGACATGTTTCTCCAGCTAGAATGCACTTGGTCACAGATGTACTCTTTAAATGACAATTGTCACATCTTACAATTTATCAGAGTACCACTTGTTGGCACAAAATGTGTTTTAGCATGTCTACTTTCATTGCAGGGTGAAAGTCATGGTATGAGTAGCATTATATAAGCATAAGCTTGCAAGAGATTATTGCCATGTTTCATTTGGAGATATCAACTTGGGAAATTCCTTTCATAAACTTTGCATTTGAAGGCTGGTTTAGTTTTTCTAACTAATGAAACTTTGTAGATATTTCTGTCTCACCTTCTAAGTAAAGATCCTACAACAAAAGCAAGACAATAAGGATATATTAAAAATATAGTGCATAAGAAAGTGATCAGACATTTATCAAAACTTATTTAGTGAACATTTCCTGACAGATGTGGTAAAACACACTATGCATCATACTCTAAATTAGAACCTGGTAGTGCTGACAAAGTAAGCACTCCAGGTGCTTTTCAAATATCCTAGTGGGTTCTAATGAAAGCCTCTACTCAAAACTTTTGTGTTCTTTACACTTCTCTTCTTTTTTCCAAGAAATCATTAAAAGGTGAAAAAAGCCTCTCAATGGAAGGAAATTCACCTGACAGAGATCACTATGAAGCAGACCTGAGCAGGACTTAAATTAATCAATTTGTTTTTCATGTTCACTTGTAAATCTGTCCAAGGCCTAGGCCTAGG